TGTGTGTTTCAATGATACCCAAGATTTTCAAATATCAACCAGACTTATTATTTATGAAATCCATCAGTAACCGACTGAGTTCAAGCTGCTCTACATCAGTGAGGAAACCAGAAACGTTTAACAGTCGCCTTTCAAACCTTCAGGGGGTCAGTGTTTGATATTAAGAAGCAAATTTCTAAGTGGACGATCACTTTAACACCTGCAAGTAAACGCTTGTAGATATGTGTGTGTGTGTGTGTGTGTGTGTGTGTGTGTGTGTGTGCATGAAACGATGTTATGTGAGTCTAGGAAGTGTGTGTGTGTGTGTTTGGGTTCAGCAGTCCCTCTGACACACATACCAACACTGCTGAATCACCCGATGACTCTCGTACAAAGACCTTCAACCCGTTTAACTTTTTACTGTGATCCTATCAACAGCCGCACCTGTCCTCTCTTTGAACACGTGTGTGGCCGTGTTTTTAACATGTATCACTTACAACAGGAGACGGGCAAACACACACACACACACACACACACACACACACACACACACACAAATACTCAAACTGACACAGGTAGAGAAGAAGAGGGAGAATTAGTGTGGACTTCAGAGGGGATTAGGAACAGGGAGAGGAGAGGCTGACTTGAGATTGTTAATATGTTTGTTATGTTATGAATTGACAGATTGCATTAACTTTATGCATTCATTTTTAAATATGCATTATAGTGTTAGTCATTTTTTGAACGACAATATTTAATTTTTCATAAAATCTGATGTTTTACAAAAAAATTTAGAAGCAAAAGTGACGACTAAACACTCAAAAAGGTTTGTCTTGTACTGCATTCTTAACACAGCTGCATTTCTTTGACTAGAAAACTTTAAGTCACTAAATTTGTGACTATAAGTCATGCAAAATGATGTCTTTTGTGTCTCGTGCATACAGAGGGCTTTACTGTGTCAAAACAGAGTCTTAGACCGATGATTAGTGGAGCGCAGTAGCTCTGGAGGCGGCTGAGTGAAGCTCTGAGAGTGATGGGTGATGAAAGACACGACAAGCCTGGCGTGGCAAGAAAGATGGATGCTCAGAGTGAGATGCAAAGACAGACATGCCTCATGCTCGTGTTAGCCGGGGCTTAACGTGGATTTCACCGGGGCAAATTAAACCCCTGGGCGAAGATACTTGAGCGAGGTGGGAGATAACTACATCTGATGGTCCGTGTTGTCCTAATGGCCTGGAAAATTCAATCACAGCCTTCATACCTGTGTCTGCTTCTCTTAACCTGGCTGCCGTCTCAGTCGCAGGCTCCTCAGCTGTGAGGAAACCACATGTAAAAGTTTTTAGGAAGTTTTAATGCTGCTTAGAATCAAATTAAGGGAAGTATAAGACAAAAGCAGCTAACAACATCCTTATTATGAGTTAAAGGGATACCTCACCTCCTAGAAGGCCATTTGTAGATCAGTTACTCATCCCCAGTTACAATGAATTCATGAGGAAAACTTTTTCTCAAACGGCTCCATGGTGAACAAAGCTTCCAAAACTGACTCAGTTTAAATGAATGCTGTGTTTTGAAATGTTTTAACCACATTCCTTTGCTGTCAGACGACCTTTTCCTGTGGGGACTGAAGCCGTTATCTCAAACCCGCCAGACTCCATTCACAAAAACAGAAATTTAACTTTGCAGTACAGTCCAAAACTGAAATAAAATGCCAGCTGTCCATGCAAAAGTCAAAGTGACTCTGTACAATGGAAAAATGAACTGTGAAAGGCCTCTAATTTGGTCCTTTATTTTCTCTTTATGTTGTAGTAATATATTGATGCTAACATGCTACATGTAGCACCTTTAAAACAGTTTCAGAGGAAAAGCGGCCACACAGAGGCCAAAAAGTTCAGTCTTTCAAGAGCAGAAATGTACTTAAACATCTGTAGCTCAAAAGCTTGAGTTCTCTTGTTTCTATAAAGGCTCATGTAAGTGAGACCGTGTACTGTACGGTGCGACTTCACAAAACTCCTGCAACTGTGAAAGGACGACCTGTCCTGAAAGCCACGGTCACGGCTCAGTTCGACAGAGGGAGGGGGAACGTCTAGACCATAGCTCTTACAGGGATCAAAAGAAGAGAGGGGAGCTGGAGGTGAAGGGTCAAAGGTCACCATCAAGCAGTGGGAACAAAAAGGAGACTTTCTGTTAACAAAAGGCAAACACAAAGGAGAGGGCCGTGTGATCCAAATGTTGCACAATCACAGTGTGTTGATCCAGACTGAAATAATCATCTCTCTTTGTCTCAGTGACGACTTTTTTTTTTTTTGTTCTAAGACCTTTAAACCTTCGAGATATTCAAGGTTTAGGTTTCTTCAAAACCTACATCAGCGTGTGGTTACATCTGCATCTGTTCATTGTGACACTGATCCTGCTCATCACTTACACAATACCCACCATGTAGATGGATATGATGTGTGTTGTAATTAAAGGGACAGTTCACCCTAAAATCAAAACTACATTTCTTTCCTCTTACCTGTAGAGCTGTTTATCTGCCTATATAGTCTTGGTGTGAGTTGCTAATGTAGCTAGATGACACTCAGCTTGTGGTGCTCAAAGTGCCAAAAAATAAATTTGAAAAACTCAACATCAATGCAATTCCAGAAATCATGACCCACTTACTAAAGATAATCCACAGACGTTGTTTTGAGCAGTTTCACATGGGAACAAGAAGAAGAAGAAGAAGAAGAAGAAGAGGGAGAAGAAGAAAAGTTGAGAGAACTAAGTCAAAAATGCCCAAACGAAAGTCTGAGGAGGGCGGGGCAACAGACTCCAAACATAAAAACCTCAATAGTTCTGATGTGGAGGTATCTCTGCAGAAAGTGAAAGTATATATATATATATATATATATATACATATATACAGTACAGGCCAAAAGTTTGGACACACCTTCTCATTCAATGCGTTTTCTTTATTTTCATGACTATTTACATTGTAGATTCTCACTGAAGGCATCAAAACTATGAATGAACACATGTGGAGTTATGTACTTAACAAAAAAAGGTGAAATAACTGAAAACATGTTTTATATTCTAGTTTCTTCAAAATAGCCACCCTTTGCTCTGATTACTGCTTTGCACACTCTTGGCATTCTCTCCATGAGCTTCAAGAGGTAGTCACCTGAAATGGTTT